AAGTGTCACGTGGGTGTACCGAGGTGCACCCACAATCGCTCGCGCGGCTGCGTTCTGGACGAGTTGAACTCTCCGAATACTCTTCAAGGACAGCCCCATGTAGATCTGAACTGGCCCCTCTCTAGTTGTTCAAGCCAATCAGGCAGTTTTGTATTGGATAAGTGTTGTTGTCTGATATAATCCCACCACACCATCATGAAGTCTTTGAAACTGACAACCAATGAGGTTATTGGCCTGGTTATCCCAAATCCTGGAATTTTTACATCACATCTGAACAATATTACGGGATCATATATGTACAAGCTCACATGTTGTAGAGCCAATTAAGTAGTCAGCCTAACATGTTGCTTTGTGCGATAAATCAGATTTTTTTAAAAAAAAAATTTTACCTCATTATTAATTTGATGCATATTTTGGTAATCACAAGCATGCTTTAAACAAAAACAAAATTGTACATGGTAAACTCTACATAATTAAACAATCCACATTGCATTTCTAACCCTCTTTGTGTTATTTTGGAGAATTTTGTAAAATGCTAAAACGATAAAGACAACATGCAGAAGTAACCTATAACTTTCCCTGCTACCATATAAAAACTCAAGCGTTAAACAGTGAAATAAAATAGTGCTTTATTTAAGCAGACTTAAACAATAACTTTTGGTTTATTTCAGACTATTAAACATATGCCCAATCCCATATTCTCAAAGTATAAAGCCATTCTGTAAATTGATTTCCAAATGTTTAAGGACTGGCTAATTTTAAGAACTTGCTTAAGTTCTTAAACTTGCTTGCTTCTTTCTTCTTTTCCCTCCATTTTTAATTCCTGCGTCTTGTTTTTTGTATTATTGTCCACAGAACAATAACTTCAGATTAGCGGACCGAAGCTGAAATTCAAACTTAATTACAAATATTTTTTTCTTATTTAAAGAATTGTGGATCTGCTAACATTGATTGTACAAGAGAATGACTATAGTACATTTCAACACAATCACTCCAACCCCATGTACACAGTTTTTCGGTTGCTTTCACAGTCAAATATTGGGGATATCAGTTATACTAAAATAGACAAATCAACTGAAAAGAGACTTATATTTTCTGGATTTTACTCGGGAGGCAGAAGATCGGACAGCCACAATTATTTTATTCATTTGAATAAAAGGCTAATTTTTCTCTCAAAGGTTAAAAAGGTGGTAGACAGTGGTGACATCTCTTGAGTTGCTGAAAATTAAGTCATGAAAGCAGACAAGTTCTGCCTAAACTGCTACTGTGTAGAAAGCATTTTCTTGTTGGATAAATATGGTAAGCTATACTGTTCCATAATGCAAAAGTAGGCATAAACATAACAAATAAATTAACTGCCTTATTAATTGCTTGTACATTCTGTCTTGAGACTATTCCCACAGTGCTTCTAATAATTTGCTAGTTAAGCGCTTCTAAAAACATATTAGTAAATTTTTCCAGAGTTGATTCCGAGTACAATTGCAGAGTAAAAAAAAAGGAAAGGATCTTGTAGATCTTACAGATTAAAAGACTAGCAGATTCATTGTAGCTTCACATTTTTATAAAGTTGAATCTACTGCAGCAATATTGGTATTCTACAATGATGGATCACTATCCCATAACTATTTGGAGGCTCCTTACAGAAAGAAAACAAGATCTAAGGAAATGATGAAAGGAAGCAAGAAAACATCCTAAACAAAAAGTAATTTTAGTTATTTTTTAGGAAGCAACTGATCTGTTGCTGCAACTGAAGAATCAAACTTGGGGAATCTGAATGCCGTTTGAAATTCACAATTTTCTACTCAAATTTACAAATCTACGTAATTCAGTGAACAGTACTTCGTACGGAATAGGACACCTGTACTTTAGCAATGCTCACAGAGTTTTCAGTAAGTGGGATATAATCACAAAAGACTAAAGAATAACTATGTGGTATGCTTTGGACTCAAATATTGTATCACTCTTGTCTAAAACACTGAAATAAGCAAGGGTTTTTTTTAAGGCCAGTAAAAAAAAAAAGAATATAGGACAGGAAGCTCTTTTGAGATTGTGCCCCTTTTTATTTTAATGAAACCAGATTGCAACCAAAGTCCACAATCATGAAAGTTACTTTAGGTTTGGCCAAAGATTTTCGTATAGCTAACAAATATCTGTTTTCACCCCTATGGAGATCCTCCATATGATATTGCGAACAATTTTTGCTATGCAGCATAACAGTTGCTATTCAAGAAATACTGGTCTTAAAACCCTGCTGGGCAGAATGAGCTAGTCAGTCTGTTCTTAGTTTATGGTTGTCTTCTATTTCTAGGAAATCAATACCTGAAGAAAAAGATGAAAATGAAAACTTTCAAAACTAACAGAGGATTTTTTTTTTGCAACAAACCACTTGATGCAAAGTTACTTAAGGTTTTTTTTTTAATGTATTCAAAGTGTATTTTGCATGTACAACATAGGCTTTGGGTTTTTTTTTTTCAATTATCAGACTGAGCCTAAGATCCTACTTATGGGAATTTTAGTTCTGTTGAAGTGTATTTTGCTGTCGCAAAACCAACCCTGTGCATTCATTCTGATGTCTAGTAAGTTTCAATGAGACTTAATGAATGCCAATTACTTCTCAGAATAAAAGTCCAAGAGGAACAGCAACTGAACTGCATAAAGCTACTCCAGCTCAGGTTCAAGAAAAAAAATATTTCATGGTACTTTGAAAGGGAATTAATTAGCCTAGAGAAATATATTTTCCTGTTGTTGTTTTTTTTGCAGCAACCTGCTCACAACCTACGTGATGAGTGAAGAAATCCCCACACATTTTTAATATACTCCTTAGAAAATGTCTCATTGATCAGTGAAAGAAGAATAAACTATCTTACCTAGTCCTAGCCGAGATTCCTTGGAAAAAAGGTTATGGAGGTTGCAGAGGTTGATATTGGGAAGGTCCTTAAGACTGTGGTAGGTAAAAGCCAAACTCCATTCCTCCGTAAGGCCATTTACCTGTTGCTAATTGAAACATAGTTACATCAGGAAGAAGAAGTGTATTCAGAAGTGCTCCTTGTTCTTTTTTACCAAAAGGATATTGGGCATAAAAAGAAGGGTTAAAAGATTTCTGTCCACCCTACTTGAGTTTGCAACTCTTTTTTCTTCCCTTAGTCTGGCCCGATTCTTGAGACTGCCTGAACAAGTTTTCTTGGCAAGGTTTTCAGCAGACTTTTGCCACTGCCTCCTTTCTAGGTTTAAAAGAAAGGGACTGACCCAAGGTCACCCAACTGATTTTGTGCCCAAAGGACACCTAAATTCAGTCTCCCCATTTCTATTCTGATGCTTTAACCACTATGTCAAACTGGCTCTCACGAGAAAAGTCTAGAAGTACTTATAAAATCTTACTATATGAGAAAATGCTGAGTAAGTTCAACTTCTTTATCTAGGCCTCCAAGATACACATACACATACAATAAATTCCAGCCTCTGTTAACATTTCACAAGTGACACAAATGCAATAAGCAAACGAGCAGAAGCCAGGAATGTTCAGATTCCAGAGAAATCCTTCAGGCTATTATCAGGAGCAGATTCACAACTGCCTTCACCATAGGTTCACTAGCCTCCATTCACACATGCAATCTCCTCAATGCTAACTGCCGGAGAACTCATGAACCATTAGCAATAAGACAATAAATGGGGAAGGGAGCAGCGGTAGTTCAGGTGTGTAAGGCAACACTGAAAATCTGGAAAGAGCCAAAGGGTGAAGTTAATTGCTTTTGCTTTGTAGCTGCAATTAACACAATTTGCATCTGATTTAATACAGCAAACAGCAAATGCTAGGCTGGGAGACATGGATCGTATTTGTGCTGCAACATCTTTTTGCTATAGTTTATCCTAAAGGGAAGGGCATTACTCCAGTTTTTCAGGACTTTTAATAAGCAAATTACGTGAACCCCTAGAAGCATAACAGCTGTTCTTTAAAAGCTGAAAGATCTTAGAAGCAGAATGAATTTATTCAAACAAAATAACGGTGAGAGTCCGATCCCGCATTCTACCTGCTTTCTGAAATTCCTATGCTATGGACTTTTTAGAAAAATTTTAGAAACTACAAAAGTTTCTTCCATTATTTTTTTTGCGTGTAGATTTGTTATAAAGAAAACCTTACACTCGATGAAACATATTTGCATGCTTTCTAAAATTATCATTACTGAAATATTCCCCCATTTTTATAAACTGCACAGATTAAATGTATTCTCTTTCCATCAGGCACAATAGATAAATAACAGGTTAAAGGCACATTCATTATTTTTTTTCATCACAAACTTATACTGCTTTCCAATATCTCACCCTGATTTGTAGTGACACTCAGATCCATAAACAATTTAATAATTAGAGAAAGGAACAGAGCAGTTGAGAGTGGTTTTTGCTCCGATTCTTTTCTAACAATCTCATTTGGTTTTGTTAAAACACCCTCAAAACCAAAGGCTTGGGAAGACATCTTCCTTTCTTTAAACTGATGGGATGGCTCCTACTTATATTACTGACTCCAGATTTCCCCCTCCCCCTCCCGCTGAATTCCTGCAGAGGAAAAGCAGGTACAATATTAGGGATGTCAGCACCTTACAAATAACAAACTCGTTTTCCATCCTAGCAATAAAGTTTTATTAAAATTGTTCATTAATGCTTCATATGTAGCAAGAATGCATAGATCCCAAAATATACATACGTCTTTTTTTCTTATAGAAATAGATCATTCTTTATCATAAAAAAACCAGTAGGAACATCTTTAACAGATTACTCAATCCATGACTGACAGTTACATGAGGTTGCATCATGTATAAGCTGGTGTTCCCAGCCATGTTTTAAAAGATTGCATCATTCTGAACTCTCTTCTCTCCTTTATGTTATATATATTTGTTCAATTTAAATAACACTAAGCACTCAAACTCCCCACCCGCCCACCCGCCCAAAAAAACCCTTTGCAAAGACAATCATATTGGATATTAAATGGCTTCTTATGCTGAGTTTGGTATCGGCTTTTTTTTTTCTTAGAAAAAAATAATGAAGTTGGAAAACTATGGATTTCTCCATGAAGTCGCGCAGAGCTCTATAGAAACCGGCCAAAGAACTCCCCCCGCCAGCCGAAGGAGTCGTACTGCAAGAGGCTTAGGGCGGAAGGTTTCTCCCATCATCAAGGAGCGCGAATTAAAGGCCAAAAATATAATATATATATAATTTATATTTATGCAAAGCCCCCTCGGGACTTTCTCTTCCCCCCTCCGACCCGTGCTAGTCCTGAAAAGACGGGCAGATGCACCCACCCCCTTCACACACATACACACACATACGCACCGCTTCATTCCTTCCCGGAAGCCTCGCCTCCCCCACAACCCTCCGCCTGCCCAAACCACAGCATTGTTTCCAGCGGCGTCCAGCTGTTGAGGGGGGGAGGTCAACGGGGAGGGGGAAAGGCTAGCAATGTCCGGAGGAGGCCAAAAGCGGCTCGGGCAGCTGTTTGAACAAGTTCCTGAGGGTGCTGAGTTCCCGGGACAGCTGCTCGACTTTCTTTTGCAGCCTCTCGTTCTCCGCCGTCAGTTCCAAGACTTTGTGCTGCGTCTCCAGGTTGCGCATCTTGGCTTTGTCGCGGCTCTTGCGCACGGCGATGTTGTTCCTCTCGCGGCGGATCTTGTACTCCTCGCTGTGCTTGTCCACCGACTTCTTGGACTTGTTCTTGCCGCTGCTGCCGCCGCCGCCGGGGCCTGCCGGGTAAACGCCGCCGCCGCCGCCACTTCCTCCTCCTCCGACTGAGGCGGATTTCGAGGAATCGGACGGGTTCGGGGTGCCGGGCGGGCTGGAAGACGAAGAGGTGGAGAGGTTCCCGCTGCTCCCGCTCGGCACGGACTGGTAGCCCAAATAGGAGCGGACGGTGCTGCCGTAAGGCGAGGACATTCCCCCCAGGCCGGGCCCTGCTCCTCCTCCGCCGCCTTCTTCCTTGCGGCCCCCTTTGCAAGAATCCAAGTGCTCGAAGACCGGCTCCACTTTGGTCTCCACCATCTGCGGCGGGAAACAACCCAGCAGCGGCCCGGCTTTGTGGTTCTGTCCGACGGGTGGGTGGTGGCCGTGCCTGCTCAGGCTGATGTAAGCGTAGTCGGGGTGCTTCTTCCCGCCGCCTTTATAGTCCTGCTCGGAGAAGAGATCGGAGAGGAAATCTTGGCCGCTGCTCCCGCCGCCGCCGCTGCTGCAAACAGGCTCAAAGTTGCCCCCTGCTGCCGTGGAAGAAGGCGGCTGCTGCTGCTGCGGCTGCTGCTGCTGCTGCTGCTGCTGCGATGCTAAAGGGTCCAGGTAAGGGCTGAAGTCGATGGCTCTCTCGTGATCCCCCACGGTGAGCTCGGTCATGGAGCGGGCCCCCGCCGCCCGCGGGTGCAGCTTGTTCAGGGCAGCCAGACAGTCCGCCTCGTAATAGAAATTGGCCACTTCCATGGATTTAAAGGCCGCGGGCTGGAGGGGGTGGCATGCCTGATCCCAGGCTACCAGGCGTTGCATGAAAGCAAGAGGAGGGGAGCGGGGGGCACGAAGGGGAACCTCGGCCACCGGAGACGACCCCCCTCCGATGCCTCCAGAGCGAGAGGGCGGGGACCTTGCAAGCGCCCGACCGAGGAGACGCCGGCAAGTTCCTCTTTGCCTTCCTTTGCCCGGCTCCTGAAACTCCCGTCCGAAATCGGGGGAAGGGGCTTCCGAGCCCCCTTCTTCACACACACACACAAATAAAAATCGCGAAGAGTTGCTTCAGACGCTGCCGGTCGAGCGCTCTTGCCGCGGCTGGTTCCTCCGGACCATTTGGCGATAGGTGCCGAATCTTCTCTTCCTTAAAGTCTCTCTGACTTGGGAAAGTTCCTTGGCGCTCAGTTATTTATAGGGGCGGAGCAGCGCAAGCAGAGCGAGAGAGAGAGAGAGGTCGTTCGCCGCCTGCCTGCCTGCCTGCCGCCTGCCTGCTTGCTTGCTGTGCGCTCCGGCGCTCGGAGAGGGCTCGCTTGCTGCTCCAGCCTCCAAGTAAGCGGAGCGTCTGTGCCTCCCGGAGCTTTGGCCATTCATAACAAGGCGACACGGCATGATAGGAGGAGGAGGAGGAGGAGGAGGTGGGAGCAGGGCTGGTTGGCCCGGGCTCGCCACGAGGGGAGGGGCGTCTTTGCAGCCGGGGCAAAGTTGGGTGTGCGTGCGATCTTTCTCCTTCGCTCCAGCTGGGTTTTCCCAAACCCAGAATGGGCTATCCGGGCTCGGACGGAAGGCTCGCGCGCTCCACATTCTCAAGTTTCTTTGGCACCTTCGGCTTGAGAAGAGGAAGACCTTTTTTTTCCCTTCAAGCCAAATGAACGGGCTTATTTGCGCTCCTGTTTAAGAAGACGGGCGCTTTTGCGCTCCTATTTAAGGAGACGGGCGCTTTTCGCGCCCCCTTGTCCCAAGCGCACCGAAGGAGCCTTGGATAGGATTGCCCTATTCTAAAATACCTTTACAAAGCGCAAGGAAGTCTCGTGGAGTGCATCAGCCGTGCTGCGGCTCCGTCCACAAAAGTAGATCTCCGGCGGTCGTTTCTGCGCGGAGAGAAGTTTTCAAAGAGAGTGAGTGTGCCAGGCTTAAAGAGTGTGGACAGATACCCCACTCAAACCCAAGATCTGTGTGTTGCCTGACATGGTTGCCCATGATTAACATCGTGCATGACATAATAACCCAATGTTCTTGACACCTTGAACCATAAATTATGTGGACAGAGGTTTTGCACAATATTTTAGGACTTAGGCTAACATTTCGTTGGGTCCTTTTAGGATACGGGGGTGTTGTGTGAATATATAGATTTTGGACTAATGACGGTTATGCCTCTGATAAAACAGATCCCCAAAGAAGCCAGCATAAGATTGTGCTGCTAGTGATGGTTAGTGCAGAAACAAGAAATCAATTTTGTGTCGAATGTGGATGTAGCAAATGGGAAAGAGCCACTGCAAAAAAGAAAGAAAAAGGAATATAGAGAGAGGAAGGAAGGATCTTCAGATTAACTAGTTTTGCGCTGTGGAACCCTGGATTAACATGCTCCCCAACCAATCATCCCCACTCCTGGGCACAGCGCTTTGCCTTCTGCTGTGAAAAAGAGGCAGGATGAGTAAATGCCTATCTACCTATAGATGCTGTTAGAATTTATCAGTCTGTCCCTCCTTCAGTAAACATGTTGGCTGGGACATCCATTTCTTCTTAGGACCCAGAGATCAGGAGATGACAGGGAACTCTGCGCCCTTTCAAAAGGAGGTTCTCCTTTGCTGATTTATATATAAATAAGCATATATATTTATTTCTGGCACTTTTCTGGCATGGAAAGCAGGACAGCATTTGATTCTCCGCGCAAGGATTTTGCATGATAGCCCCTAACAATTGTTATTAAAAAGCAGAAACATTCATGAACTACAGTTCACTTCGGCAGATGCACAGCCGCCGTGTATGAAGTTCCCTGAAGTCTGTGCCTTTTGCTAACATTTCTTCGTTTGAAAAGAAACTTGGGTTACCCCAGCCGAGACTAACAGAGCTCTTCTCCTGCAGTGATTCCCGTAGGAAATCCAAAGTGCCCCATGGAGGTAAAGCAGAGTTTTCTCTCTTCCTCCTGAGCATGGGGGGGAGAGGGGGAAGTGACTGATCTTCTCTCCAAGATCACCCCACTTCCTTTCCCCACATGTATCTTTTGCAGCTGTGAGTGTCGTCATTTGGTCTGCCATGAAAACTGTGCGCTTTAAATGGCGTCCTTGGGGTGGCCCTGACATTCCTTGGCAAGTTTGAGCTCTCATTATCTTCTGAAGGACCCCAGCAACCTTGGACGTCATGAGATTTGGGGCTCTGTTTAGGTAAAAGATGCCCACCTTGGAAGCCAAATGAATGGATCCCCTCACTGAGCCCCGTATTTACCTACATATAGTTATGACTCAGTCCCAGAATAAAGGGACAGAAAAACGAAGCAATCGGAGCCAAACATATAATTAAAGAAAGCAGGAGTGCCTTTTGCCTTAGCAAGGACAATCTAGCTCTGGGGAGCAAAATGGTATTGCATCTCAGAACAATATGAAGCAATCCTGCGGTGTGAGAACATCAACGTTAAGCCAGAGGAACAGGTATTGCATTATGCGATTCAGCCGTCAGCTCTTGATGAAGGCCCAAACCTCAGAGATTTTTAAAAAGAGGAAGGATTAGAAAACGGGGTATATAGCCCTGCATTCCTTTTTCTCTCTTTTCAAATCAATCTTACAGGTTGGAATACTTTTTTACAAAAGGAGTGTAGGCTTTACTTACAGAGCATGAAATGATCTTAAATTCATGGTTCTAGCTCTCCTTGTGATAGGTTAAAAATAAAATAAAAGCATTGGATATTGTGTTTTTAAAAGATGAGGACTTGGGGATCCAAATCAGGCTTAAATTTTAATGTTTTGTTCTTTATAGAATTCATTCTCACTTCATAGCAACATTGATTTTATTGATAAACAAAATTTTATTATTCTTCACAATAATGCAGAAAGAGCCAATTTGGCCTAATAGTTAAGGCACCAGGCTAGAAAGCAGGAGACTGTGAGTTCAAGTCCTGCCTTAGCCATAAAAGTCACTGGAGGCCTCCTGGTCGGTCACATGCTCTCAGCCCAATCCACCTCCGTAGGTTTATTGTGTGGGGAAAGTAGGAGGAAGGTGTGTTTGATATGTTCGCTGCCTTATTTGCAAAAAAATATAATAAAGGCAGTCTATAAATAAATAAATACAAGAGCTACAGAGACCTCAAGATCAGCAGTTCTAGTGATGTGTGTGTAAAGGGTAAAGGTTTTCGCACATATGTGTTAGTTGTTCCTGACTCTAGGGGGCGATGCTCATCTCTGTTTCAAAGCCGAAGAGCCAGCGCTGTCCAAAGGCGTCTCTGTGGTCATGTGGCCGGCATGACTAAATGCCGAAGGTGCATGGAACACTCTTACCTTCCCACCAAAGGTGGTTCCTATTTTCTACTTGCAATTTTACCTTACTGTACACATTTTTGTGTCTGTAAGTGCAGATATTTCTTTACAGGGAATGAGTGAAATTGACAAGGTTTTTTCCAAATGTTTTAATGCTGAAATTGATGAGACTCTTTTCCAGCCTTTCAGTTTCATCAGAAAAAGGAACAAAATTGCCATTGGGTAGATGCTTGATATGATGCAAAAAGCAGAGAAGGGGGGGGAGGGGAAACCACATTGTGTCTGTTATTTTAGTGGTTAATGCAGCCTTCCTTATCCAAGTGACCTCCAAAGGTAACACTACAACTCCCAACATTCCTAGATAATATGATCAATGATGCCATTGGCTAAGCATTCCAGGATTTGTGGCCCTTCCCCCCCCCCCTCCTGCCATACCCAGAGCTTGAAGAAGGCTGGGATAAAAGATGAAACAAGCTATTTTGAATAAATACAATCCTATCAAACATTTCAAGAGGAACACATTTCTTCACAAAGGCCATTCAAACAAAGAACACTTGGGGGGGGGGGAGGGAATGCAATTATTAGTTTTCCTTTTCTTTCTCTTGTGCATATATACAGTTGTAGGTTAAAAGTTGTTTTAAATCAGGGTTGCTCAATTTTAGCAACGTCAAACATGCGTGGACTTCAACTCCCAGAATTCCCCAGCCAGCTTAACTTGGCTGGTGAATTCTGGAAGTTGAAGTCTAACATACAGTATCTTGAAACTGCCAAGATTGAGAAACAGTGTTCTAGATGGTAAATTGTGAAACTATATTAAAGAGCAGGATTTCCATTATTCTTGCTACATACCTACTATCTCCCTTCATTCCCCCCCCCCTCCAAAAAAAAGCTCCTCCTTCCATCATTACACTATTGAAGTTTCAAGCAGGCAGGTTGGTGGCAGTGGCTTTTATTCAATCCTCAGCTCTTTTGCTGGAGAAATTCTTCTCCAAATTCAATGAATGAAGAAACTGTTTCACACCTCAGGAGCTAGTGGCCCATGTTCCCCAGCAGTGGCAGGTTGCAAATATTTTTACTACTGGTTCAGGGGTGCGTCGGGCGGGTATCCATGGCCTCCCACCACCATTACTACTGGTTCAGCCAAACCAAGAGCAACCCACCACTGCTCTCTAGGAGAATCAGACAAAACTCTCTTTTCCTGTAGATGCTGACAGGTTATCCTCAGGTTAAAAGAACTTGCTCCCATGACATTTCCTTTCTCACAAAATACAGACGGAGTAGAGTGACGGGAACTGGAGTCTCCCAGATGAAGTAGAAGGAAACCCAACTACCAGTAAACTTCCCCTTGGAGTGAAATGTAGTTTTCTTACGTTGTAATGACTCTTTATGACTGTGTGCACTTCTTCCTTTTAGCTGGCGCAAAGAGCTGCCCTCCCTCCCAAATGTTGGCTTTGGAGATTGGGTAACGAGCAGACTTTTTCCGGTCCTCTTGGAGTGCCAACTAATTTTCATCAGGGGCATCTAGTTTCAGACTTCCCCTTTCTGCCAGCTTCCCTAATCTTCTGCCTTGTCTGGCACCTTCTCTGCCCCCTTTCTTCCTCTGAACTATTTGTTGAGATCCCTGGAACCAGAGGTGGCATTCAGCCGGTTTTCTCAGGTTAGGGCGAACCGGTAGCAGTGGCTGCGGGAGGCTACGGCCACCCATCCCGACGTAATGCTCGAGCACTGAACATGCGGAGAAGGTGCACGCTCACATTTGCGAACCGGTAGGTAAAGTAAGTGAATTCCACCGCTGCTTGGAACTTAACGGGTAGCAACAGCAGGAAGTGTTGGCAGTATAGTCATCAAAGCTTGAATCCCACTCAATCCAATCTTGGAAGGCGAGAGGTAATGACACCACCCAACAGTTGCTTGCGATTCCAATCTTTTTCTGCCACCTCTTGCTGTCCAAGCAACTCAAATACTTGGTTGAGTTGACTTGAGTACTTGAACATCATTGGCATTGACAAAATCACTGTCAGTCAATTGCAAAAGGCAGCTTTACCTGGAACTGCTTACATTCCGCTACAGTACCCTTTAACACCATCA